CCCCCCCGCCAATGCTGACTCCATGGTTACGGCCATTGATAAGCTCAGTACCTCTCTAGGACTGTTTTTCCCATCTTCCCTTTACACGCAATTAATAATCTACTTATCTATTTGCATTCATAGAATGTCAAAATGATTTGCTGAAACACTACATACTGTCCAGCTCTTGATCGTTAAACTGTTTCATCTCTCTGGTCAGCTACCAAGGGGAATAGTTTAAGCGAGGAGCCTGCAGACCACGTGGTGGCAGTGAAGCTGGACGGGGAGAACACGGACGATGCGGCCAGACTGAACTCCTCATCCTCTTCCTCGTCTCTCTTTGTTGCCATGGATACTTGTGAAATCAAGCAGGTCAAGGTGAAGGAAGAGAAGTCAGATCCGGGCAATGCCCCTGAGTTCGAGTCTGGCTCCGACGAAGTGGCAGGGGATAAGTTTGAACCCGACACCCTCTCCCTGGTGCAGTCCAGGCTGCTGGAGGATTGGAGGCCTGAGCCCCTGGAGCTGGACCCGGGCTGTGCAGCGGAGCGCTTTGCTCCCTGCACCAGCCACTCCCTGGGTGAGTCTGCTGGGGCACCTCTGGGGACGGTCCTCTGCGTCTGCCTGTCACAGTGGGTCGCGGATTCTAATGCACAGGTTCTAGTCCTATTGAACGCTTTAAGCTGAGCTCCGTCAACAAAAGTGTAGTTGTACTGAGGCAGAGTGTAAGTGATGAATATCACAGACAAGGTATCTTTGGTCGTGCAAACCGCACATACACACACAGCCATGGGCAGATATAGACCCACTGCGCTGCCCCATTCTTCTGTAAATGAAATTCTATAACAGGTAAGCTGTTGGAACATGGAATGTAGATGTAGTGTATTTGTGAATATATTCCCACAGATTGGTTGGTTTGTGTTTTTTTTTTAGTTAACCAGTTCCCATTTGGTACTTTCCTGCTCATCCACCCCCCCCATAGGTGAACCTCCTGTCTCAAACCCAGAGCCTGCAGCCCCAGACAGCTTTTTCCCCCCTCCCTTCTCGAACCCCTACCAGCCCGCGGATGCAGCGGCGGTGCCCGTCCCCCAGGAGCATTACGGCATGCAGGTGGGCAGTGCTCACCAGGCTCACGTCTGCAGGATTTGTGGGGAAGCATTCCACCTGCCAGGGGAGCTGCGGCGGCACCACAGCCAGCGGCATAGCAAGGCGACGGCCAGGAGGGGGCGCCGGCAGGCCTTTCCGCCAGGCCGCAGCCCCTACCGCTGCTCCCAGTGCGGCCGTGACTTCAACCGCATGGAGAACCTGAAGACCCACCTGCGCATCCACACTGGCGAGCGGCCCTACGCTTGCACTGTGTGCGGTGTGCGATTTCGCCACTCAGGGGCGCTCACGAGGCACTTCCGCATCCATACCGGCGAGAAGCCCTACGTTTGTAGTCAGTGCGGGAAGACCTTCCGCAACTGTGGGGGGCTCCGCTTCCACCAGCGCTCGCACACGCGGGAGGGACTTGGCTCAGTCAACTGAGGGGGTGGGCACATGGTGGGGGGGTGGGCCTGGCTGAGAGAGGCGAAAACGGGCATATGGGATTGCCAGAGCCACAGTCCTGTTGGGTTGAGCTCCAAATGTTTGTCAAACATTTGGTTCTGGAAAATAAAACTCAACGATTTGACCGTAGGCCACAACATGGCTAAACGACTGGGATGTCATGTAGCGCCAGTGAAATGGGCCTCTTGATATCCGACTAGATTTTGAAACATTCTGCAGATTTTTTTAGGTTTTTTTTTCCTATTTCGGAAATTAGAGGCTTAGAGGTAATTTAGAGGCAGCTGGACCTGCTGCAGGTATTCCAGCTGAGAGCTTGAGCAGGCCTGGTGGTGATTTTTCAAATTAAATGATGATGTGATGTTACTGCTGTGATTAAGCCCACAGAACTAGGCATGTCAGTGTTCTGTCAGGTGTGTTTAGGAAGGTCTTCTAAATGTATATTAGACTTAAGATTTTATTCTTTTATACATTTTTACACACACATGGATGTTTCCCCGTATTCCTTTCCAGAATTCAGAAAGTTTCCTGAAAATAAATTAAAAAAAAATCTGTGGATATTCCCTTGTGTTTTATAAAGCTTGACCACTGAAACATTGAAATTGAAAATGTGTACATTCATTTGATTCGATTGCCCTAAGTAATAATACATTTTAGATTTTCTGGTTTGCCTTGCAGTTTAAAATGAACAGCTATACTCTAATTTGATGAATTTGAAAGAAAAAAGAGAAAGCTGTGGTTTGGAGCATTAGTTCCGGTTAATTTTGTTGCAGGGATTTCAGTTTCCTGTGGTAGGTCTTATTACCATCATAACGCCCAAGCCTAGACTAACAATTTTAAAACTGTTCATAAGTTTACCCATTTCACTACTCTGCTTTTATGTGTTTGTTGCAAAACAACTACCCTCTCCTGGTCTGGTAAAATATCATCCCCAGCCAAATGTAGTATCAACACAAGCTTCCGCCTGCATGACCATCTGCAGCCAAAAAGCACATGTGGAAAAGTTAAGTATGCACTACCCTTTAGTCTTGGTCTTCCATTTAGAGAAATATCAAAAACACATCTACACCCTTGTCTACCACATATCAAGTTGCATCTTTCTGAATGCTGCCATTATGCTGAAGAATCACACTTGAGCTTGAAATGATCATGTGATACATGTAGCATAATGGATAATCAGCAGTACTGCTAGCTGTGTAGAAGGTCTGATCAGGCAGTCACCTTTCTAAAACTGAAACGCTGTGCAAATTAATACACACAGACACATTCATGTTAATGTAATCTTTTTACTTTACATTTGATATATGTAAAAAAAAAACAACAGTACACTACCACATCATAAGGTGTATATGTTTAAATTCCAACAGAGTTTATCTTGCAGATACGGAATTGTTGTTTCTAGAGGGCTTCAATTCCTTTTCCCTAAGACTGGATGGGTTTGACATGCGTGTGTGGTGATCACTGGGCTTTGTGCTTCTCCCATTGCTCTGGTGTTAGTGTCTTCTGCTCAAAGGCATGAATGTCCTTCAGCTCTTCAGAGAGGCAGCTGTTCACCATCCTAAATGATGAGGAAGACCAAAGCGATCATGCCAATGAGCCCTTCAACCAGTCAGCACCCCTGAGATCCCACACCTTTGTTGTCTCATTACTCTGCACTCTCTTCAAGTTAATATTTTCTAATGTTTTTTTCCTCATTATTTACCTCCACATATACCTTGAGATGCAGATCACACAGTGCCTCTGAATAACTGCATTCGCTTGTTTACTTTTATTTCCATCCCATTTTTTCCTCAGTCATCTCTGCACTGACTATTCTGTTTATCCCTGTTTGTCTCCTTACCTTTGTCTCTGCAAAAGTGTTTTGCCCTCAAACTCTGGTGACACCACTAGTACCTTGAAGCTGGTAGCACATCTGTTCGCAGTTGTATCTTCCACTTCCTGTTAGACAAGATAATTTTATAATCTGGCACTTTGCATAAATAATGCCAGATAATTTTAATATCAATGACATATTTACCAAAGCTGCAACAAATATTCGATAATATAAAAACACAGAAAAAATGCGGATGTTAGGAAAATAAAAAGTAAAAATAAATCAAGCTAGCTATAACGGTTAAAATAAATGGTTGATTTTAGAGCATATGCCATGTGAAGGAAAAAAAAATAGTATGACACAAGGGCACTTGAAACGTAAATATTCCGAGCAATGGAGATTTCCATGAATTGACTTGAATTAGCTTGATAGCTTGAAATAAATTTAAGTAATCGGGATATTTAGCGAAATAACAGTAGCTAATATTCAGTGATAATGGTGTTTTCCAACCTATGTTGGAACCTATGTACACATTGCGAAACGACAATTAGTCGTTTACATTTACTTTTTTTGATGTAATACAATTATTCATTATCTAGCATTCCATAGCCACATCCATAATGTTTCAATTACGTATATACTTATGCATACATTTTTAAATGATGAAACTGACTGCGTTTTAATCTAAACACATGTTTCACCAGATATTCAAATTCCGTTTCGTTACATTCATCAATGGACACCATGTTTTAACCACATCACTTCAGTCAGCCAGAAGATTAAGGCCTTTCAGTATATAGCTTATTCACTAAACACACATACCACATGCACTGCTCCAACGCCAGTTGTCAGTTTGTTGCGAACGTGATCTGCTGTTATTGCCATGCTTTAAAGAATAAATCGTGTATTACTATTAAAACGTCCTCTGATATAATGGCAAATATCACACAGCAATATACTCGCCGGCTGAGGAAGTTCCAGAAAGAATCATCAACTGGCGACTTCTAAGACGGGCCTTAAACAATACTGACCAATAGTAACCCACGATGTTCAAAACAGACCGTCGCGTTCTTACCGTAAACCAGTCAAATGTCCTCAAAGTAGAATAGGGCGGGGCCAGGAGGGTTTCACACCAACCAAAATATGGCTTCTTTGTTTGGGTCCTCTTCTTCTGAACCTGTCTATTTTTAGCGCCTGAATAAAATTTCTGGATTGAATTTTTAAAAGATAGAATATTTCATATTATTATTTATTTATTTGAGAATTATAAAGCGAAAATAATACTTTATATATATGAAAAACATACTTATATATTTTTTTGAAAACCTGCAAACTACTTTATAATCAGGCAATGAAAGAAACAGACAAGCCCACAGGATGTATTTCGAATGGATCAGCCGGGTGCACTGTTAAAATGTTGTTTAGTTAGCGAATTCATTTTGACCTAACAGTTGGTGTGTGTGCAGGTTTGTAATGATTTAAAGGCGTCTGTTGTGCAACTTTATTAATATATAAATGATTATTTCAAAGTACAAGTATAATCCATGGGTCATAACCTCAGATGAAATATCATTCTCGTTGGTCGTACTGCAAAAAAGTAATAGAATATCGGTATCATGCAGGGTAGCCAGGTTTGGTCAGCTAGCTAGCTTGAGATTTTCAATTAGAGTCAAGTCTGCGCACGGATTTACATGGCATGCGTGTAAGAGTTATTTTACCTTGTAAATAGTCTGTAGGGTTTGCAAACCGCTTTTGATGCAACCAATATTAGGTTTATAATGGAATAATATAGATTTGACGTAAGATTTCTTGCGTGAATCTGAGAGCATGAGTGTCACGGCAGATCCATGCAAGTTGGCAGTCCGGAGTAAGATAAGTACATGACTTATATATTTATGTTCCGTTCAAATCACGTTGATATGCATCACATACTAGCACAATTTATGAGCAAGTTTATTGACTGATGTCACTTATTTCATTATTTAAAAGGTATCCAGATATTTCTGTCTAATGCTGCAAAATAGTGGTGACCTGATTCACATGGATGGTGTTTTACTATTTATTGATCTGATGATTAGTTTTTTGTTGGTAGATGTGGTTATTCCGATACACGTATTTGACAGTGGAACGTTTATCAGATCTAATCGAGTTTACTAGAATACTTTAATAAAGGCATGACTTTAAAAACATAACATTCTTCATTTGTGTTTATTAGTGCCCTAAGATGGTCGTGGAAGTGGAGAGCTTCTTCGGGGTGTACATGCTGTATTGTACAAACCCGAAGTTTAAGGGTCGCATCTACATCGGATTCACCGTGAACCCAGAGCGCCGGATCGGGCAGCACAACGCCGGGCGACACAAGGGAGGAGCCAAGAGGACGAGCGGCCGCGGGCCGTGGTGAGGAGCGAAGCAGCGGCTCCGTCTGAGCAGGAGGCCGGCTGTACTCTACATGGATTCCTATGTGCTAGAAGCATGGCTTCGTGGAGCCAAGGAACCAGCTTTGATGACATTTTTGATTTTATTGATAGTATTAAATACCTCAGAAGAATTTAAATATTGATAAAACTTATTTTACCCATTGTTATTTTTCCCCCACAATGCCTGTGATGCCTGAAATATGGTTTCTAAGGAAGGGTCATGTTTTTTTCTGTGACTTTGTGCAGGGAGATGATACTCATCATTCATGGCTTTCCTTCTGACATTGCAGCTTTGAGGGTAAGTGTTCCTTTCACACGTTTCACCAGGTTTTAACTTGCAGTTTGGTGGAACTGAACTGTGAAAGCCTGTTCACTCGAAGTTCTTCCCTATTGTTCAAAATCCACTGTCTCTCCGTCTCACTGTCCAGTCGTTCTGTTTATGAGTCTTTGTATATGAGTTGACTGTTGGTCCCCTCTGGTTTTAGTTCGAATGGGCGTGGCAGCACCCACACTCCTCCCGGCGCCTTTCCCACGTGGGCCGCCGATCACGCCGCGAGTCTAGCCTCCAGTTCCACTGGCGCGTGCTGTCCCACATGCTCCAGGTGGCGCCGTGGAACCGCCTGCCCCTCACAGCCCGCTGGCTGCGCCAGGAGTACCGACTGGAGTTTGAGCCCGGGCTTCAGCCTCCGCTCCATGTGCCCGTGGTCTTTGGCAGTGTGCGTGCCAAGAAGCAGCAGCCACCGGTGCCAACAGAGCAGGAGCGGGGGGAGGAGGGGCCAGGAGGGAGGTGCCACCTCTGCCTGGACGCGGTTAAGGTGAGTAAGGAGCAGAGCCTTTGTCTAGGCTAAGAAAAACCTGCTCTACTGGATGCACAAGATCAGCATATATACATCAGTCTGCTGAAAGGATCTAATGATGCAAATTACTGAGTGAGGTTTTTTTTGTACTCTTCCTTATATGACTGTAGAACTAAAATCTCACATTGCCTTTGCCTAAGGTTTTCTGCTAGGTCCTTACACCCCAAATCCTCCTCTAATGTGAACAGACACGTGCATTTAACATGTGAAAAAACAAATGCTGCATTTATTTTAATTACTGGGGGAAGCTTTTGGATTCAGTGTAATTTTAAACTAAATTGTGTAAATATAATGTATTCCTGTTTGCTTTTTCTTACCTTGCTGAACATTTCTCATTTTCAGGCTGCAGACAGGGTGTCCTGTTTCCGTCCTTCTTGTGAGATGGTCGCTCACCTCATCTGTTTGGCGAAGCACTTCCTGAAGTCTGAACCTTCCCATCTACTTCCTGTGGAGGGGAAATGCCCAGGCTGCCGCCATTCTATGCTGTGGGGCAATCTGATTCGCCACAAGACTGGCTGCTATGGTGACCTGGAAGAAATCGCATCGTCTGCAACATCTCGGGTGAGTGTTCATTGCGTGACGGGGTCCAGAAAGCTTTCTTATGGGTAGCCTCAAGGGATCTTTGTGTTGTGTTTTCTTTTAATTCCCTTGAGGTTGAAAGATGTGGATTTGATTTGGAAGAAGTGAAGAAATTTGTACCACAGGCTCATCGACAAGTATTTTTGCGCAACGTAGGCGTTAGCTGGACAGTGCATGAGACCGTTTCAGAAGATGCAGCTCCCTTCTCTGTCCTCTCATTCGCCCATTTTCCTTGTGGTTTACAGGAACATTGGGCAGATGAACTGCAGGTGTGATCGATGTCCCGCCGGAATCCACCTGCCGACTCGTAGCTCTGCCCAGCTTCCACTCAGAATCCACGTCTCCATCCCGGAGTGTTCGTCATTTCTGTCATTCAGGGCATTCAGAGAGACACCGTGGTGCAGAACTCGCGCTGCCCACATGAGGAAGCTCAGGGTATTACCCACATTGAACCTGTGGAAGAAGGAATGATCATTTTCGGATTAGTACCTAATTTTCAAGTAAGTTTCCTCAAATGGGAGTGGTGTGTCGCTCAGCAGTTTATGGACTCTGTCTGTGACAGGAAGGACACTGGTTCAAATCCCAGGGTTGGCAGAGTGATGTCACCATTTGGCTCCTGACCAAGGCCCTTAACCTGAATTCCTCCAGGACTGGCTGACCCTGATTTCTCAGATGTGCTTCACTTCACATAGAAGCATATGCTAAACAAATAAGATACAAATAATTTGGATTTTTTTTAAAACCATAACAGCTGCTGTTCGAGTTAAATGTGGAGGAGCATTCTTCAGTGGAAATAGTTTTTTTTTTTTCTTAAAAAAAGGAAGAAAAAACATTTTAACAAGGTTTTAAATTAACAGAATAAATGAAATGGCCAATGCCAGTTTTTATTTAAAGTGGACTTGTGTTATATTGTAAATAAAAGCTGCGTATTGCAGATTAATATATATTAGCTGAAATGTCAACTAGCTAAATAATCAGTGTTTCTGGACTGTGGTGTGTCTCTCGTTATACTTTATAGAGAGGTGCTGGGTCATCTCCACTGGGAGCTGGAATATGCAGTGTGTGGCTCAGTGGGGTAGGTTTCTGTGCCTGTTTTTGGAAGGTTGCTGGTTCAAATCCCAGGGTCAGCGGAGTGATTTCACTGTTGGGCCCTTGCTCCAGGGATTACCAGACCATGCTTTCTCAGTTGTATGTTGCTTTACGTAAAAGCTAAATAAATGTAAAGGAATATAAATATATATATTTGACACATACACACACACAAAAATGTACTTATGGGCTACGGATCACCAGTGTGCACCCTGACTTACTCTGGGGAGTGGGGCTCCGCTTACACAGCACTTTGCTGTGTGTACTGATGTAAGCTTGGGTGACATGGTGGTTCAGGGTGTCATTTGATTCAGTAACCCATCAATGGGTAAACATTTATCAATTAGCACAAATGCTGCTCATGGGTTATGTGACCTTACCTTGATTTACCAGTGAACAAAAAGCTCCCACAAACTGAGTGTGAGTCTGTGAGACATTGGGATGGGAAAATGGTCTTATATTCAACTTTTACACACTTGTGTATTTCTTATAAATGCCTCCTGCTGCCGTAGGGTCCAAAAGCAAAGTCACTATGAAGCAAACTAGGAAGCAAGTGATGCCTGAAAAAGCCAGGATTGTCCTGCTCTTACCAAGAAGAAGACCAAAGCTCAGGGCATAGCCATTACAGAGAATAAATGCATTTATTACATTCTCTTTGCATAAGATGCTGACATTGAAAACAATGCAAAAAATTCAGATCACAGTTTTGTACTTGTGTAAAATGCACCCCCTCCCCCCGAATGAGAAACCATTCCCTGAGGCCGGTTATAAATCAGGGTTCCTTCCTGCCTTCTGGATGATTGGGAGTATTTGTCATACTCGCATATAACCGAATGAGGCTGACTGAATGAGCATTCCAAACATTTTCAATTGGCTGAATGCAAGGTCTCCTGAGAGTTTGTTGGAAAGATGCATCATTCTCTGCATAGACATGAATGGAAAAACTGTGTGAGGACAACCTTGAGTGGACACTTTCTTTTAACCCATCTCTGTCTGCAAACAATGTATCCTGTGACGTACTGTGGCGGCTTTTTACTGCAGCAAGTTTTAATCACTAAAGGTTAAAAAAAAAAACTGACATAGGTAAGGACTCACAACTTGACTTGGACTCGAGTCACAAATTTGATGACTTGTGACTCGACAGCAAAAAATGATGAAAATACTTTGACTCGACTTGGACTTGAGGGCAAATGACTCCAGACTTGACTCAGACTGCAATGTTTTGACTCGAGACTTGACATTCCTTGACTTGTTCCCATCCCTGGAACCTGGATGGTGCTTTTCACAATGTTATCTCTGCCTCTCTTTGCAATAAAAGCTCACTTTTGTGATATGGGAAAAGAGCCTTTGAAACCCTTACAATGGGTGGGATTATGATTGTGTAACAGACTAGGAACCTGTACTGTGGTTAGAGCAGGAAGTGACAGAGCTACTCTGCCAACTCTGTCGTATAATGCTAAAATCCCACATTGGCATTTAAGGAAAAGCTGGGAAATGGCAGATATAGCATTTTATTAGTTAAGAATAAAGCAGTATATTTTGCTGTATCACAGTATGCTGTTACTAATGTAAACGTTTTGATGCTGGTTTCATTATGTAAGAAGTCATTGGTGTTACTCATGCACCCTTATAATTGAGTTAGTTAATTATGTACCATAATAACTGATCACATTATACTTATGTGGTGTTAGTGTTTGGTCAAATGCTTAAAGTAAGATTAGTTAGAGTATGTGACGATTACATGAGGAGGTATTAGGTAACTAGGTAGCAAGATTAACACTGTGAACGATGCCCATGACATGGCTGAGATGGTCCAGTGACATTGTCTTTCTTGGGTTAGCATCCCACCGTGTGTAGGCACGCTCAGATGATGCACAAAGCCACCTTTTCCATGAGCTCTGTCCTGGTGCAGCCTGATGTCCACCTGACGTTCTTCATTACTGCTGAGTCTGGGGCGCATTGACGGTGATCACTGGCTGAAATGAGCATGACAACCAGAAACACATAATGTACAGTGTGAGTGAAGGACTTCTCTACGTCATTTCATTTTCAAGCCTTTACAGTACAGCCCTGTATCCAGTCTGAAAGCTTAGCTCATTTGTTACTGTTAGGTCTATATTAAATAAAAAACTCTGACTCTAGTCCCTGAAGGCCACAAGGTCAACTGGGTTTAGCCATTCGTCCACTTGTCTGCTGAAGCACCACTGTTGACTGTGAGACTTAAAGGATGAAGTAGAAATAAAAGCCAAAAACAATGTCTTCCCTTAATTTTGCAACATGATCAATGAGCTTTACAAAGGACCCCTGGGTCTGTTAGTCTCAAAGATCATTTACTCTAGGCTACCATGTTCTACCTATATACCAAAGCATAAGCAGAAATGATGTGAGGTGTACCATCATCGATGAATCGCAGTTGTGAGAATTGTCTACAAAATGAGTTACTTTCACCCCTTTTATCCATGTTTTTCACAGCAAAAATAGAAACTTTACACCACATTATGTTTTAGTTATATGAAATTTATAATATACTAATGTGAACACTGACACATACGCTCTATATAGAGTCAAACATGTCGCATGTTCGCATAGGCACCCCTACTTCCCCATCCTCACCGTTTTCGATTTGGGGCAGCAGCAGTCCACTACCTTGCAGCAGTAGGCGGCCAAAGTGGCGCTGATGGCCACGAGAGTTGTGTTCACCAGGAAGCTGTTTGTGTTGAAGTGGTCGTAGGCATCCTTGGCACAGGAGGGAGGCATAACATGAACAGCGAATGACGCGTACTCTTTCATAGCGTGCTGAACACACCTCGTGCTTCTGACCAATCATCTCCCCTCTTGTTAACACCCCAGCTCTTAAAGGCAGATTCAGTCACCCGGCGCCTACGACACCCACGGTGAACCATGGAGGGTAAACCAGTAAAGAGCTCAGCTCACATTTATCATCTGACAAGTCTTGGTGATGTTTGAGTTGTGCCCGTGCATCCAGCAAGACTCTGGTATCGGGGCCATTGTCATCTTGCCGGCGCAGACGAACATGTTGCTGATGGACGCCAAACACGCCAGCACCTGCAGGCCCAGGCAGGCCTTCACCTATGTGGAGAGGAACGCATGGAGATAAGAAGCCACACCATACATCTTCTTCAAATGTGACCATCTGCATGCTTGTTCCCAGTATATAAAAAAACCACCACCCTCCATTTGCAGGAAGTGCATTTATAAGAACTTACTGTGGGCAGATGTAGATTCTTGGCTGCGATGGCCGTACCCCCAGCAACCATGATCTACGGCATGGAGTGATTGTTCAAAGGCAATAAACTGAAGCACTTTGATTTCTCAAGTTAGTTCTTTCCCTGTCCGGTAGAATTTTGATTGAGATCCAAAAAAAATTCTGTGAACATTTTTCGCTCATTTAACTCGCTCTCTATCCTTTGTAAACACGAACTCCATGAGGGAGCACAAATCAGATGTGGTGCTGCTTCTATGTCGTACTAAAGATTTTGAGTCTTCAATTCCGATATTCACATTGAATTGTGTGAGTGTGTGTGTGTGTGTGTGTGTCAAAGCATTGACTTGCAGAAAAAAACTAAGGACTGTAAGGAAAGAGAAAAAATACTTCAAAAGTAATAAATATAATCTTTAATAAATACAATCTAAAGCAATGTTTCACATTATAATAATGTTGTTGTTATGATCATTATTGGTAAAATGCCCTTACTGAGCAGACCAGGAAGAACTCAACACTGCACGCTCCCTTAGAAACCATGCAGATACGTACGAAAACAGAGCCAACGATGACTGCGTATTCTGAGTGCTCCAGGTTGATGTCAAAATTAAGGGTGATGATAGACAGGCTTATCTGAAACAAGCTGAATAGGATCTCGGAGATCTAATGGGGGAGAAAGGAATAAACACCAGCAAGGGAAATTAATAATTATACGAGAAATAAAGTTGCGGGTAAATTCTGTAGGCGACGCACGTGGTCGCCTTGGACCCCAACTCCGGAGGGGTGCTAACTTAGCCTGTCCGGGACAAAGTGAAATTGTCCGGCTTGACTCCTCTGCGCGACCAACGCAAAAAAGCTACAGAATGTGGGGCACCCATCTCTGAGGGGGGGCGCCTACATGCCAGCCAAATAGCCAACTTCGCTTTGTGGTGCAGCTGTTTTGTTCCAACATCGGTGACCAAAGATAACCGTGAGTAAATTGGTGGCAAGAAGACGACCAGTTTTTCAAAATGAAGGAGCAGAAGCTATCAGAGCTCAATATTGCAGTAGGACAATGAAGCACAGAGGCATGTTAAAGTGAGAGGCGTGTTAGGCAAGTTTTATCACCTCTACATAATGGATACGCAACGTAAGGATATAGACCAGGGGTCTCCATCCTTATTTAAAGTGAGAGCAACTTCTCCAAAAAAGATAATCTGGGCAGCTACATGTTTGATACAAGATTAGGCCTATATGAACTGCGGGTGGGAGGGGGACTTATGAAATATAGGTCTGTGCAAGATATATACATATGTGCTACTATGACTACTAGTACTACTACTAATAATAATATCTGTGATTTACCAGTTATTCGTTGACACCCTGCGGCCTACCATGCGCTAGGCTGTTAGCTTCCTAGCATAGACTCACTGCTCATCAACAAATGGCTCACTTTTCATTACTGAAGTGGGTTACGGTGCTATCTAGACCCCATAGACTTAAGCATCTGTTTTATGAGATATATGAGGTCTATAATTATAATTATTATTTAATTAATGATTTATCCACATAAAAATGTTACCTATTCTATTATGCCTATTTAGTTTTTATTTTTACAAAATGAAACAATCAACAGTCTGTATTTCTAGGATCAACCCTACTTGCTACACGGTTATTCTAAAAGTTAACGTAATATGTAGTCTACTGTATAAAAATCCATTCATTTGTACAGCCTTTTTCCAGATGACAGCCGCAGATCGACTGTGTTGAAGTACTCACTAAGAAAAAAGTCACATTTAGATAATTTATTATAACGCAATTTTCAGACCAGTGGTCAAAAAGCGACTAACTTACTAGTTAATCCCTGAAAATACCTTTTTGTATGAGAAACCTAACCTATAAATCAAGCGTGAACACAATGTCCCGCTTGCTGTTGCGTAATTGTTAATGTGAACTTAAAATTCTATTTGCCAATATTTCAGTTGACGCTGGGGATGGAGATGTATTGAAAATGAGCTGATACGGCAAAACAGGCCAGTGTTTACTGGAAATTAAGCAAATGGAGTAAAATACCGATTAAATGTTGATTAAACATTAATTAGTAAAAGCACATAAATGCACAAACCCCGAGAGCTTTGGGCTCGGACTCCAAGTACTTATGAATTTGATGAGGGTCCTTTTGGAAGGTGACGACCACAAGTGGTCCCTCCTCTGGGACGCTGGCTTGGGGTTGATCGGTGGCGGATAAGCGGTCCAACTTTTTTTGTTCGTTTGTTTGGACAAAAAGAAGAAAAAAAATAAGTCTTAAGCCATGACAAATCACTGTACCGACAAACCCTTATATATCACGCAAAACGAACGGTTACAATCCAGGAAACAAAAATTATTTACAGTTTAAAATTACGATATACACTGAATTATGCTGGAAAAAGTGCGTTGAAGTCGCCACTAAAGTATCAATATTGACATTAGTGTGTTTATACAGACCTCATCCATGGTGTACAAATGTCCAAAGACCTGAAATAATGAAACAGTAAAATTATTTTACTGCAAATTTTGTGCAGCTTAATTGATTGCTGACCATTGTGAAAGACATAACGGTTTCTACATTCGCTTTAACTTTGTGACAGATCCTTTGTACTAAAACAAGAATTAAGAACCATGAATCCGAAATGTTGGTTTGACTTTGATTACCTTCTCCAACTGAAAGATCCCAAGCAAAATAGAATGTCCGATTATTAGAAGCTAAGACGAGCACCGTTTCTTCCCCCCCCAAAAAAAAACAACGCAGAGGCGCCCCGGTTACCAACGCCCTTTAAGCCCGTTTGCACTTTTTCTCCGAGTCAATCCATTTCCGCTTACCGGGAATCTGACTCCAAAAATGTGCAGATCCTGTCGCAACCCACGCACTCTGCGTGCCCGTCGCTCAATAAACAGCTACGCAATTCGCGTAGAGTAACTGAACACTATGTTTTAAACATTTACAAATATTCGATAAAAAGAACATGCGAATGTGGAATTACAACAGCGTAAAACCACCATGCAAAGACACGCATCGCGCTCCCTCTGCGTTAAGCTGTATAGTCTTGATATGGTTACATATTTTGGAATTAAAAACCAGTGTCTATGAAAGTGTCGCACGTGGCTATCAGAGTTTAGTCTTTAGAGTTTATACAAACCAGACTTAAGTTGGCCTGAAAATATAGAGAATAAATTAATTCATTGCAGATTAGTCTGCTGAGATCACATTATAGCCATGTTGCACTCAGGGTACAGACCTTTCCATATGGTGGTAAAACGACAAACTTTACACAATCTTATAGTCTATTTTAGCAGAAAGGACCATGTTAAGCTGTAGTCATCTGTAGCTTAAGGATGGCTGGAGGAGAGATAAACCAACAGAAGACTAGTTTGTTCAGATTTTTAATTGTGCACACCGATTAAAACAATGATGTAACATTTCCAAGCAAGTATGAGATTGACCATTGTCTACAAGGTAATATTTTTTCCACAGTTATAAGTAACAAACAAATGACTTAATTAGTATTAAAAATTTAGAAAAAAAACTTCCCTTTAGTCCCCTCCTCTCTCCACCTGGAGTCAGTTGGCACTGAACCTTTGGTTTCCATTGCCTTCCCTCAAACACTGACCCACAGAAATTCAGCTAACAATAACGGCCTGGTTTGTAGATGTTCTGCACATTATACATCCATCAAATAGGACAGCATCAGCTGAAAGATGCTAGCAATGAATCGAATCACATTTCAGCTCTTTCTGAGGAACACTTTCCATAGGATGCAGAATTCAGTCCCATGGAACTTTCTGAGTTACATTTCTGTTAGCAACAGTGTCACGCTTGGAACTGCAGGTGAACATAGATCCAATCCTCATATCTTCCCCCTGGTTTTTGGTGCTGGATAAGTAACTCTAAGGGGGACAACACAACATGAAACACCAAAGCTTTGAGACTGGCCCAGCCCTCGTGTCAGTCATGCTGTTCTCCCTTCAGTTATCAACATATCTCATCCTTAGTTCATCATCACTCTATGAATTAATCAATTGGGTAGTAAGAAGAACAGGGTTGGAGAACAGGATTGGAAAAACACTGGAGAAATAAAGCAAAATAAGCAAGCCAGCAAATCTTAATATAAAAATATGCATGTAAATGACCCGACACAGGAAAGCACAGGTTTTCATCACATAAATTTCCCCGTTATGTGCGAGCAGAGCAACACTGAAGCCAGAAGTGACGGTGTGCAAAATTGTAGAAAGATTTAAGTGGCACCGAATGCACGTCTACTAAGGGTGCTTTGCACCCGCCCTCAGATTCATGTCAGAGTTCAGGTAAGAGCACAGCCCGTGAGACAGCACTTCCTGGAAGGCCGGTGTTTTCTAAACCAGTGACACGTGTGGATGCCACAATCCTGGCAGAGGAGGCAACCACGTCGTGTTCAGCGGTGACAGGGTGGATGCTTTGGTCGTACTGTGTACCCAAAGGACTGAAAGCAAAGTACGGTAGAGGGGGCCAAGGGAGGGGGCTGGAGAAGGTTCCCTGAGACAAACACATCACCGTCAACCCCCCCCCCCTCCCCCCACCTGTCAATATGGGAGGTGCTCGATAATACAAAAAAAAGAGAGAACTGCTCTCATACGACACATGAAGGAACATTTACCGCAACACCCTTGGTAACTATGTAAACGAAATTATAGCAGACAAGATACACAGTCAGAAAGGTGCTTTATATATAAGCAGCAAAAAAAAAAACACTCTGATCAGCGGTAGCAGAAGGATAAGAGATGGGAGTTGGGATGAGAGCATCCATCTGATCGGGTTCACAGGGCCTCAGTGCCCCCCGTTAGAGAGCCTGATACCCATCCGTCCTCTTCTTCCTGCCGATCAGGTACACCACAATGACAATGACGATGAGGATGATGAGGACAACGGCCACAACTATGGCGACGGTGTAGTCTGGCTTGTCAGCGGGACAGTTGTCAGCTGCAGGAAGGGGCAGAGATGGCATCAGGGACGAGATGGAGATGCAAGGCACGCAGACCATGCATTTGTAGCACAGCTCCAGCTCAGCCAATGCAAACTCAGCCAATGATACCTCACTGTGGCTCAGCTCAGAGTACATCTTAAACCGGATTCAACAGGATCGCAGAGTCGGCTGGCTTTCACTCATGGTGGTCTGTCGAATTCTTAGTCAAGCTTAATTTGAACTCAGGGCAATTTTAGATGAGCGTTTGCTTTGATTTAAGAATAAAGAATGGCCATCTTTTGAAAATTAATCTTAATATTAAATGAGCTATCCAAGCATCACAGAGGAAACTCGCAGCTTTTAAAATGTTAGTGGCTATGAGAATTACCTTCAATAATAATCACAAAAAAACCTCATTAAGCAATGGGGCAAACACTTACGTAAACCAAAGTCTCCTTTGGTGAAGTTGAAGGCCTGCAACTTCAGGCTAGTCATCTCCAGAAAGTAGCCAGAGCCCATGAACAGTGTCATATTCTTACAGGAGTAGGAATGCCCAATGGTAGTAGAGAGGAGATGCAGCGATTCATTGCTGACTGAATTTTGGGTGGGACCTGCAACGACAGGGTAAAACTGTACAAATTTTCTTTTAGCTATCAAAACCATTCTGCGCTATATGCAGATCAATAATCAATGTTCACAAAGTAAAACACCACCTGGAATAAAGTGTTGGAATAAAGTTCATGAAAGAAAAGTATTTCACGTCCAGTAAATTGCACTTCAGTGATAGTGCCACACAAATGGATGAACAAGTGTTTTTTTAATATTGGAAAATGTTGTATTTTATTTTTGAAGAGGAATTGATTTATTTAATGATCATTAGATTTGCATTTGATTTACCTGAGGGCAAGATGGGGTAGTTCACATTGAAAGCGACCTTGGTGATGTAGACGGACTTCTCGGTGGAGTTCTGAGACATATAACACAGAGCATTCAGGAGCAGGCGAATGACACAGATGTAACGCTGATGATCAGGACGAGGGGAGTGACCATGTGAGATCTGCTGTAACCAAACACCGTTTCTGCCACCATTTAATTACCTTAAGCCAAACAGCTCTGTGGATAATGTCAAGACAAGGAGAGTAATGTGATAAAAGTTGGATTTACAGTGTGTGGTTAAATGATTCACAATAATTCTGGTTTGCCCACAATTTTCAGAAATTTATACAGCCCCTGTGACAAGCAAAGGTACCTTTTTTTCTGAGAATGTAGATATTTCACAGATTCAATGCAGAACAAGGTAAGATATCTAGAAGGCCCCCCATTTAGAAGTGAGACTTTTCGAACAACTGGACATTTCAGATTGGCTAAACTCCATGCCTGTAAACCACCGGCTGCAAATATTAAAAACTGCAGCGAAAGAAGCTTCACCACTTTAAAATACAAGTTCCTTTTTCATTAAATCTGCCCTTCCGCACCTTCCCAAAAGCTGTGCTTTAAACACCTAGGCATGGCAGCCCTTCCTTTCACAGCCAGACGATCCACATGGCTTGTATAAAAAACACAGACCAGGTCTCCGCCAGCCGGCATCGAACTGCCCCTGGACACCGGAGAGCTCTTACCTTCTGGAACAGCAAGGTAAGTGTTCCCTCTGGGAATGACAAGGTGAAGTTTGAAGTGGCATCTGTACACTGTCCAACGGCAACTGTCTTGTTAGGCTGGATGATAAAGCTGCCCTGGATGGGGAAGGGGGGGGTCGTCAGTACACAACTGCTTAATATTTCTGGCTGCTCGATGCAGTCAATCTGCTTTTGTGAGCATAAAACCACATTTTAAGAAGTAGAGCTATACAGAAGACAATAAAGTCATTTACTTTTAAGCATGTTAATTTATATAGAAAACTCCTGCAGAGCATCCTGGTCTGCGTGTCGGTGAATCGGCTGTCATACCATTTCGCTGGGTTTGGAGCTGGACTGCAGCTTGATCTGTATCGCCACAGTCGCCTTCCCGCACATAACGGTATCGTTCTTAACGACGTAGCTGCCAACTGTCAGGTTGGTGGGGGGGGTGGGAGTTGGTGGTGTTGGGGCATGAGTGGTGGTGGTGTTGGGTGCGTGGGTGGTGGTGTTGGGTGCGTGGGTGGTGGTGTTGGGTGCGTGGGTGGTGGTGTTGGGTGCGTGGGTGGTGGTGTTGGGTGCGTGGGTCGTGGTGTTGGGTGCGTGGGTCGTGGTGTTGGGTGCGTGGGTCGTGGTGTTGGGTGCGTGGGTCGTGGTGTTTGGTGCGTGGGTCGTGGTGTTTGGTGCGTGGGTCGTGGGGTTGGTGGTGGATGCATCAAAGTCTCCAGGGGGGGAAACGGTGGCAGATGGCTTGGATTTCCTCCGATTATCCAAGGCAGAAGCTTCAAAAGTAACAGAGAACCCCAGTAAGATAACTAGCACTGCAAAATGCGATCAATTTCCAGAGAGGAAAGTCTCTGTGATAATGTGTCCATACACTTTGTCAGGTTTTTATTTTATCACTTATGTTTCTCATTCTTAGGGAGGGTTCATTTCATACTTTGCATATCCCAAAATGTTCATGTGAGCCTTTGTAACAGGTGTGTTCTTGTGTTGTGGTTTGTAAAAAGTACCACAGATCAGGATTCCCATGAAGTGGTTTATTCTGACAATGGGCAAACGTCGATTATGGACACTTACGCTACCACACACACACACACACACACACACACACACACACACACAGCTTGGGATTTGGCTAACAAAGGTAGCAGCATGGCCAACGTGCCATTGTGTGAAAAATGATGAATATGCAAGTCTACAATTTACAGGAAATTTACACATCAAAAGATGAAGCTGGATCCATCATTCGGGATCCACCAGAAGCATGCCAGCAGTGAAATACAGCCATTGTGCATTGGAAAGTTACCAGCTCCTCTCCAAAGACCTCAATGCAAATTGTTTAACAAAAGGTCACTTCATGAATTAAAAATCTAGACAGTCTGGAAAAAAACCCAGGACATTGTCTACATTATAAGATTTCCTATTGGGCTGGGCTGACTAAATAAATTCCCCAGCGCTTTGGAGTAAGATTCCCCTTGAAAACTTGAAACTATTGGCATGCTTTGGATTTTACCAATGCAAAAGTAAAAAAAAAAAAAAAAAAAAGTCCAAGTTATTAGTTACTATGGACTTAGAAGTTACCTTTTTTTTTTTTTTTAGAAGTTAAAGTAAATACGAAGATGATTAAGTGCATTACGGAATGTGTGCCGCATATTCTTTCAATGTCAGAAACAGGTGCTACTTGGAACTACATCTAGATTTTGTCAAATCTTCTCCCTCGCCACTGTGTACATGCTTCCTCCGGGTACAGCACCTGAACGCTGGTGCATTTCCTCATTTTCTGAGTACCAGGGTGCCTATTTCGATCCACCCGTGACGGAATCCATGGCAACCGGGCAATCTAGTACAGTCAGCTGAGAGCTTACAAACAGGTTCTATGGGTTCTCTTTCTGGAAACCAGTGGCACGTGCATGGAATCTATTCACACAGTTAAAAACAAAAACACTTCTTAAAATGAGCACAGACACGCCAACGGGCAGGTTGTAGTGAAAGGTGGAGGAACGGGCGTACGGTCTGACGGAAAAAAAGATAAAAATCACGAGTTAAGTACCCAAGTTCCTGTTTCCTCCATGCTACTGACAACCATAAGCGACATCTTCACTAAAGTCGCAGCAGAGTGAAAAGTCGGGCAAAGTAACTGGTTTTACACTGGTAAGGACTGTGTGGGGTGAGAAAATCTGTACACTAATCACATATTTAAAATGGCCAGACTTAAACCAAAGATAGCAAATGCAAGGCACTATTACTACTATGCGCCATTTTCGGTTTTATCAGCAAAGTATCCAAACTCCCGTATTACGATAAATAATTTCACGCATATTATACAAAAAAAAAAAAAACATATTCAAGGGCATAACTTTGAGTTGAGCACTGGCGGGCCGAGGTCTCCACCCATTTAAGGGGGTCCAGGTGGTTGTACAGGATGGTTTCAATTGGTTACAGCCCCCAACATTTACGCCCAAGATTCAATTTTAAATTAATCATAAGCATTTTATATTAAACCTAAAAGAAGAGGTGCTGAACTTGCCACAATCGGGTGCAATTAGGGTGCAAGTCTATCAAAGCAAACTGCTGCCAAACGCCGAATGAATAAACCCGAATATCGTTTTTAACTTTCCGTGACCATTCTACGACTTAATCGAGCCCGTTTCACGTGGTCCATTGAATTTAAACATAAAAAAAAAAAAAGAAGTTTTGTTTGACAAATTGGTCCTCCATTGAAATTAAGTAACGTGTCAGAGCACAATAGTACCACCAGTAGACACCAGAGATTAAAGCAAGCGCGCCTCCGTACTTCTACACACAAATCAGTAATATCAACATAAAAACGCATTTAGCTTCGTTAAAATAAGACTACACAACTAATTTACGTCTCCGATTTCATATTGTAGTGGAGGAACAAAGGCAGACTACTTCACTCGCTCTTACAAGCTTTTCAAAAGTCAAAGGTTTCTAATCAAACAATTAGGTTAAACGCATTGCAGAGGACTTGTTAAATGTAGCATTATATACACAAATTGAAATTTTAGGTCACCTCTTACATATTCTCATATGATACAGCAAATACATGAACTAGCTCAAATTGATAAGAGAAACAGTTTACGCAACGCCGGCCTTGTGGAAAATGTTTATCTGACACATCTTAATATGTTAAAAGCGCAACTTATGGGCCTATACATTTGCTCTACTTGTAACATTTACTTAATTCTACCAGGTCGGTATGGTGGCCTTCAAATAATCAGCCAACAAGAACACAGGACAACAGTTTGATTTCTTCCTCTTTATACTCACGAAGAGTTTATGTAAGTATAAAGTAAGTAGAGTTTAAAAGTATTTTTAAAAACTGCATACCCACTGCTACGGCACAGGCCAGCGTGATAATCAGAAATGCCCTTTTCATTTTCACCGTGGAAGTCCGATCTCGTCTTATCTGCAGGCAAACCTGACAATAGCGGCGTCTGCGGAGCGCACCGCCAGCTGCTCTGCACCTATACCGAAGAAACGAAACTAAATAGCAAGTTCGAGGAAGAGCAGAAAACGACTCGGGAAGTTTCAGTTTGCGCAATCTCGCCAACCAATCGATTGCGGCGTTTTTCTTACTTTCCTTTTCATTATTCGCAAGTTTAAGCATGTCAAAAAGGTTTGATAAATAACTTATTAACTCGCTATCAAACCTAGTCATTTGTGTATATATTTAAAGCACGGTGTTGGGTCGTTTTGATCTAAGTGCATTTTGACATGAACACGTTATTTAAAAACGTGCGCGGCTTTTGTAGTTTTTTTTCCCCCCTCGACGAAAACATTCTGCAGCGGACAGGTTGAAGTTTTCTCACCTGCCAGGATATCCAGGCTCCTACTGTGCACCTGCTTACTGACAGTCACCAGCTTAGTGTAACAACAGTGTAAATGACGGTGTGAATACAGTCAGAAAACAATAGGAGAGTCACTTCATAGTCACTTCATAAGCTCTGACATGAGCATGCTGACAAAAAAAAAACAGGTCAGAAACTGTTGTGCTTGTATGATGCTTTCTGGTATCAAGCTATCTGTACTCTCCTGTCGTCCATCCCAGATGTTTAGAGAGGAGAGTGACATCCTTTAAATTGCAGAATCTGTTTAATAATTTTATTAAGGCTTACATTAGGGAGACATGGGAAACCTGACATTAAGCTGGAATTGGATACATGCCGTCTACTATGCAAAAGTCTTGGTGCTGCTAAAGAGAAAAACATGTGTTCCTCATGTTGGCATAAAACTATATTGTCTGTCAAAGTTAGTTAGCTTAGCCATTCTAAATCGTCTCCTAAAGTCAGGCCAGTGTTTGCAGGAAACGTCCAGTGTGCCCATGTTTCCTTCACTCCCTATTAGCATACCATGTTTGGCTAATTAATACCTCATAAAATTATGTAACTAATTAACTTGAGTTAACTGGTGGTAAAACTTTACAAATGCATCAGATGGCTAATGTGCCCCTGAGGGGAGGGTTTGGCAAATGAGGCGGAACCGAAGAATTTGTCTCGTATTGTGAGAGGATCCAACTGCAGGAGCTGCAGGTCTGATCCCAGACTGGAGATCCAATGAGAGGCAGAGGGTCAAAAACCAGGTAAAAGCAAACAAAGCTGGCCGGTTGTCTAAAGGCATAGTCCAAGTACAACACACAGAGTTTGATAAAGTGAATACAGGGCAAGAAACCAAATTCAAAATGCCAGACAGAGACCAAAGCGACCTGGGGCCTGGATCACGAAGCCAGAATTATCAGATTTAAGGTACCTTAATTTAAATTGACATTATTTTTATTCAGTTATATTTTACCTAACCTACCTTAAATCCTTAAAAGTTACCAGCTAAATAAAAAATCCTGCTTTGTGATCCAGGCCCCAGGAAAGCAGGCAGGATCATTAGCAGAGAGGAAATCATCAGAAATAAGCACTAAGCACAGTGTAACACTCAATGCTGCACAAACGACTAAGTGCTAACTGAGTGCTTTTAACTTGTGCTTAACTAATTTGCTTGATGCATTGTTGGTGCATCTAGTACTTAGGGATGTTTTTTTCCTGGGTGCTGGTGTGGTGTTTGTGTTACTGTTCATTTCCAAATGTTATAATATTTAATTGTGTTTTTTTTTTCTAAGCAAATATACACTTACTACCCAGATAAATAACTTCAAACATTTTCTTTAATGGCCTCAGACTTTTGCACAGTACTATGTGACACATCTTGGACTTACAGATAAAAACACATTTATTGACCTTTATATACAAGATCTAAGACAATTCATCTGAACCTGGGTTGTTCATCTATCACACCAGGTCTTCTGCCCACTGATCCCTGGGACCCGAAGACAGGAAACCGGGAACTGATGGGACTTGGGGCCATTGATGGACAGACTATTCATGGATGATCGAGGTGCACGGGAAGGCAGACTCTGGACCATGTATCCAGGAACGGGACACCGCCTTACTAGACCCAAACACTCAGAACAAGACACAAGTCTCCATGAATCATGAACCCTAAGATGCTATGCTGGGACCCAAAACCACCAGGCCAGTAACATTTCTGTCAAACCAAAAAAAAAAACTTGAAAAACATGGACTGACTATCAAGCCCCCAGAAAAGAGCCTCTGATTTGAATCAGGGCCATATGCTCTAATAACGATGAATGCACAGTGGGCAGTGCTTACCGCCATTTAAATAAGGTTGAGGTAGGGTGATGTGTAGCTCGATCAGCAGGTTATGGATCTTTACCCATGCCTGGAAGGTGGTAGGTTCAAATCCTGTGGCTGGAGGAGTAATCAAAGCAGCATTGTGCCCTTGAATAAGGACCTTAATCTCAATGCTTCAGGAATACTGGATGACCTTGATTCTCACTTATACGCCACTTTGGACTAAAGTAGCTACCAAATAAAGTATGATAAAGCAGGCATGTGTAATAAAATATGATAAAGCAGGTATGTGAAATAAAGTATGATAAAACAGGTATGTGAAAACCTTCAAGAGTCTTTGTTTAGGAAATAAATGATCATCTTTTCTAACTTTTAATCTGTAATTTTCTAGCAGTCTCTCTCATTTGGCAATGAACGGTTCAAATTGCAGGTGTGTGTGAAAGCATTTATAAATAAATAATTAAATTTTTCATTTGTTCAACAGCCCTGTTGGACACATGTCCTGCAGGGGATGGCGTATTCTTTCTGTTCCTCAAGGTGTACAAACTGTCAGTTACTGATGGTCAATGCAGAAAGTGAACTGAAAAAACTGCACACCCAGATGATGTATGGTGTGACTTTTATGCAGAATTCATAGACCACGAGTGGTTCATGTGACTGAAAAACAGGAAATGAGCAAGAACATTTCAGGGTGACTGATCTTGTGTTCCCAATCCATCTGAATTAGCATTGGTCCATCCAGCAATTGCTGGGTGTTTTTTCTGCATTAATTTACCCTTTTCTTTCAATGAGCACTTTACTTTATAGAAGGAAGATCATGTCACAGTTGGACGATTGAAAAAGGTACTTAATCCCAACTGCTCCAGGGATGCTGGTTCTCTCACCCCTAACTGTTTTCAGTTGTAAATCGCTTTGGACAGACGCCCCCCCCCCAACTAAGTAACTGTGAATAGAGGACCCGGATGGAAAATTGCGGTCAGAACAACAGGATAACACGCGTCATCACACTTTTCTAGAAGGTGATGAATCACCACCGAATACAAAGGATTTTTTTTGTCTGATTTTTAAAGTTTTGTTTTAGACTTCCAGGACCGAACTGTTGCGCAATTGATCCGTACGATAACTCCAATATTATCTAGATATGCACTTATTATGGAACCTATGCAATCTGCACTTTTTGTATTGCATTTTTCTAAAAGCAGACAATATTTCATGCAATAAGCAATTAAAACTCGTTAAGTTAAATTATCTCCGTGTAAGGTACTTAACCAGATTTTTAAAAAATATATATACAATATGAGAAATATGAAATATCTCTAAGTGGAACCCTTGTTAGTTTTCCATATGTTAATATGGTGTTCGATGTTATTTTTCACTGTTATTTGCACTGTTTATTTCTTTGTAATAGTGTTATGTTTCAGATAGGATTGTAATGTATTGCGTGGCTGATGTGTTTAGAGCAGGGGCAACTGTGGTCACGTGTGGTGCGATTCGGGCAAGTAGGGTAGCAGGAGTGGAGGGCACACAGGCACTTTGGGCAGCTCGCGGGGGAGTCCACTGAGTGGAGTGCGAAGGGCGCATGCATCATACAGAGAATTCCACACAGATCACCGCATACAGTCCCGTTTAACACGTGTTTTTATGTGCTTGTGTTTCAGGTGAGCAAAACTGTTCAAAAGAAGGGGGAAAGTTAAACTTACTGTGTGATACTCACGTAACTGTTTTTAGGACAAATGTAAGGCGATAAGAGCAGTTACGAATGAGTGCTACAGAAATATTAGCGAATATTAGTAAGGGAAAACTCGCAGCCACTGAGGGAATAATTAATAAAATACAGTCTTATAGAATCATTCCCTTTAACTAATCAAAACAAGAACTGACTGGCTCGCCGGCAAGGCAAGGCTACCTAATCGGAACAGATAGGGGGGCGACAGAGAATATCAGCGGCCCCTACTTATCTTTTAGCCTTCCAGAAGGCCAAGAACAGTACGACCCGGCTAGAATCACACATGTGGTTGTCACGTAGACGGAAGGTACTGAGAAAGGGGGGGGAGATGCCCAAAGGGCTTTAAAAGGGATACAGCTGATACATATGGCAGAGCCTCCTCCTGTACATGCTGAATGTATGTCAGATGGCCGCTCCCGGATTGCAATCTGTCAGACAATAAACCGGTGATTTGCAACTTCTCACCGTGTCAGCTGTGAATCTCTTCTCATCCACGGACCCGGTGGAGACGCCATGCTCCAACACCACTCAGCCTATACAGTTGTACGAGCCCGCTCGAACATTATCAGTGTGTATGTTGAGGGAAGTAAACTGCTGAATGATTGATTGTTTAATGTACATGTAGAAGAACGAATGTGTTTATCTGCGTGTGTTAAGTAATTGTTTCGAAGCGAATCGACACAAATGTTTTAAAGTAATTGTATGTGTAAAATTGGAATAAGTGCGAGTGGAGTGCGAAGGGCGCATGCGTCATACAGAGAATTCCACACAGATCACCACATACAGTCCCGTTTAACAAGTGTTTTTATGTGCTTGTGTTTCAGTGTTTTCTGTGAAGTAAAAATCATCACGTTATTGGAAAAGAACCATATGCATGCCTGTAATTTATTCATCTTGTGTGTAACACCTACTCCCTTGCAGAAAAAGGCTCCGCGCGTCATAATATTGCGACTGAAGGGACCTTCGGGGCAGAAGGGAGTTGGTAGCAGTTACGTATTTTTGTGTTCACAGAAAGAGTGTTACCTCAAACGGGAAGGCTGTTTAATATTGTGCTTATAGCTTAAAGAACGACGATAGTCCTCCAGTGACCGGCCAGTTCGCTAGGCAGCACAACAAGCGGGTGGTGGATTTCTCGGTTTGCATGACGGTTTTATACAGACAAGATAGCCCACTTGTAGTTCAATTGTTATCAGTAACACAATGATTGGATAAATTGCAATTGATGATATTAAGTTGCATGACGCAGATAGTGGGATAATTGACAGTTTACTCTAACTAGTTTGCAGCTTTTGACTAGGACCGTTCTGCATTTTTTTGTTAACTGAAAACCGGTGTTTCGCAAATTAAAAGGCCGATCATGGACCCCGGCGTGCTGTTTTTAAAATACGAGCTGGCCTCCACTATCGAGCAAGCCATCAGGTGCGCGGTGGAGACCGTGCTGCAGGAAACCGCGAAGGTGGTGGACGTCCGGCTGGCTGAGGCTCGGAGCGCCGCCGCGGAGTCTCACCGGGAGAACCGCAGCTTGAGGGAGAGGCTGGAGATGACGGAAAGCGAGCTGAAGGCTGTGCGCTTCTACATGTCGGCCGCGGAGAGGAACATCAAGCAGTGCCTGCTTCTCAACCGGGACCGACCGCATTCACCCATTACGGACCGTACGCGCGCGGAAGATCCCCTCGAAGGGGTACGGAGCGGGTCCCCTGATCCGCTTTCCGGTACCGACGCTTCTCGCAGGTATGTGCAGTCCTTCGGTGACCCATGTGCGAGAGCTCAGATATTGAAGTCCTCCCGCAGTGTTGTTCTCTGTTTACCGACAGTTCAATCGGGATGGACCAGACCCGGGAATAACCGGAGGAGAGTTGGATCACAAACGGATGCATCTTCGATGCCGTGCCTGGGTCAGAGCTCCCGTCCACAAACACAACTTTTGAGAACTGGAGATGATCAGAGTAATGAGTTGTATTCCGCAGCAGAGGAGGGCGTAGAAGAAGGTAGGTTGGACCATTTTTAATATTAATTTTATTGTCATGGTAAATTATCTTTAATAAAGCTTTTAAGTGGTATATGTAACGTCATATTCGGTTCATTTAGGTGAGGTAGTACTTTACTAACATGCAGCTGTCAAGGAGACAACTTGGTATAGGTGCAGCTAGGCTGAGCTACCAGTTAATGACATATTCCGGTATTTTCTGTCAACAGCTTACGAAAGGAAACATTAACATTTAGACTATCAATTATTTGATTATTAATCTTCTATCCAAGGGTAATCAGCGCCTCATAGTTATTTACAGGGACCGTGTATAAAGTGTCGAACAAAAAAAAGTGTGTAATCATCCTGTTTAAAACCAAGGAATTGAAAGCCGAAGTAGATTAGTAAAACAATTAATGGCTTCGTAATGGATTAATCAATTCTTCCAAAATTAGTTTTCCTATACATCAGACCTCATCTAGAAGACCTAGTCCCCCTCTGACTTTGTAGGCTCCTAAGTATAATTTTATTAATGAAATAATCATTTGCTACTACGTGGTTTACCCTAATGCTTTATAATAAGTTGCTCTACATCAGAAATCCTCCAGAGGACCTACTCCCCGTCTCCTTTTGTCATTTTAAAACAGAAGTGTACTAAAAGTTATTGGGGTCAGAATTTAGAAAGAGCAGACGCCTCCATAATGACGTGCTCATGGAGATTCCTCTAACTCAAATGATACTCAGGGAGTGTGACACTAAATTCTTTAAAATGCCAGGCTTTATCCGGCACTTTTAAGTGGACCCATTTGCTGTGCACATATACACTGAAACTGGAGTTAGCATTTTAGTGCAACACCTGAGAAAAAAGACTGATGTGACACCGTATCTGGATGCAACAGGTGTTGTAGTCTGTACGATTCCGAACCAAGGCAAACGAGTACTGTACTACTCACTCACCTTGGAAGGGGTAGGGATGCACCATCTCCACCTGTGTGTGAAATGCTCACCAATGAGCACAAAGTTCCACCAATCACATTTTGGTTAATGCAATTCTACTGGCACCTGTCAAAGTATACACAAGTGTATATACTGCAAGTAGAGACAGATTACAGCTGGGCATTAATGCAAGGTGTCCTACTTGCATTTGACAAAGAGAACATCGCATCCTACCTGGAGAGAGCATATTCTGTTTGTGAAAAGACGTGGTGTGAAATGAGGACGTTCACCGCTCTGCGTCTGTGTTCTGCCCATGTCATCAAGGCTGTCAGCCAGGCAATTGGGAGGCAAACTGAAGATAAGGGACTGGAGGATTTTGCCCCCTTTGTCTTTGCAAGTCTCCAGGATACCACACCGTTAGCTGCAGCGAGAGACATCAGGGCATTTCCCGTAGTACTGATTTCCACCAAGCCTACCAAAGCTGTCCTAGACGATCTGCATGTCACTGAAGCCCTCATCACAAAATCCAAAAAAATAATTGGAACCTGGATATTGATGAAGAAAGAATTCATGCCAAATCAATTGTGGGCAGGTCGCCTTTCTCTGCTGATTTCCGAATAGTGCTGGAGGAGGTGAAGGCACAAGTGGCAGAAGAGGAGACTATGACAGCCAAAGATAAGAAGTACTTATGCCCAGGGATCATAAAAATGCTTTTTGAAAGCTACCTTGGCATTTTCCAGCCGTGGAGTGAGTTACTGCTGGGTGATTTAAAGAGGTATGCATCAGATGACTCTCCAGTGCTGTCTACAGTGGAAGGGACACAAATTGCCATGTGGACAAGTGGTTTGGCATTGTCATTGTCCTCCAGAGGATTTCTGATGTAGAGCAACTTAGTTTTCAGGAGCATATTAAGCTGTTAATAAGCGGATGCCTATTTTGCACCAAAAAATAAATAGCTTATAATTAGCAGAAGGTTTGAAGTAACAAAAGGAGATGGGGAGAGTAGGTCCTCTGGAGGGTTTCTCATGTAGAGAAACTTGCTTTTTAGGGTCATAGTGAACCGCTCATAACTGAATGGTTCTTTTGCACCAAAATTGATCATTTAAAATTAGGACAATCTTATAGCTGATAAAATCTGATGGGGACTAGGTCCTCAAGGGGATGTTTTATGCAGAGCAACTTGTTTTAGCGCAATAGAGTAAACCATTCGGAAGCTACTGATTATGTTTCATTAAGAAACATAAAAATTACTGAAAATTAAGAGAAAGTCAAAGCTGACCTGATAAGAGGTGGAGTAAGCCTTCTACATACCAGGTAACTTAATTTGACTATTTTTGTTACACTGCAATTAACCGTTAAAAGGTTTTTTTTTTTTAGAATTTCATATCCCCCATTGAAAGACAAGTAATTTGGAGACGGTCCCTTATCTCATATTAGGGAGTAGACTTTCCATAGAGATCAATGAATTTTATAAATATTATAACACATAATTTTCTGACAGCAGTGAAGCGGGAGCTCATTCTGTTAAATGTCAATAAACAAAATGTACAAGCAGCAGCAACAAGATCATATAGTGTATACTTTATTGCAGGGGCTATAAATTGATTGTTGCTGCTGTACTCTCATTAGGTTACACTGGAACAAAACAGAGAACTGCAGGTTTCCACCAGCTGGAGGCGACAGAGACCCCCAGATTTCAGTTTGAGAAAAGTTCACCGGCAGCCAGCCATGTGAGTGAGCTCAGCTTGATCCAGGTGCTGGATGATGGGGTCATTAAAGTGGAAGATGAGTCTTGTTGTGAGCCGGATCTGGTTAGGGCGGACTCAGACCAGGCCCCACAACTCGTCCTGCCTCTTCCCACGGCTGCCGATACTCAGTCCGTAGAGCATCCTGAGCCAGCAGAAGCTCAGCTGGTTCTGCACGGGCTCCCCCAGAGCCCGGACAAGGTGCATCTCTGCAGCGTGTGCGGACGTGGCTTCCGCCGCTTCTACAACCTAAAGACACACCAGCGCATCCACACGGGCGAGCGGCCCTACCCCTGCCGCTACTGCGAGAAGCGCTTCCGCCACCTGGACAGCCTGCACAAGCACCAGCGCATCCACACGGGCGAGAGACCTTACCGCTGTGCGCAGTGTGGCTGCTGCTTCCGCGAGCTGGGCCACCTCAAGAAGCACCGGCTGACCCACGCCAATGTGCCACCTGTTCTGCCTGACCCCGCCCACAACCTACATGACCCCGCCCACGGCCTACATGACCCCTCCCACTTCCCACCTTACCCCATCCATGCCCCACCCCCTGTCTCTAGTGGCCACGTCTGGCCACATGTAGCCTCTCAGCCCCCTAACTTGATCTAACCATTACAGATGGCGTGACCTTTCGAAATTCCACTGCTTCTGAATTCTGCTGTGTCAGGGGAGTCCAGATCTGCTGGTCTTAGAACACATACCATAGCATTAACGATTGTTAGCTAGAAGAGCCAGGTGATGAGACTTCATGTTACTTCAAGCAAAGCGATACACTGGAAACATCTAGATCTCTGGACCTCTGTGACCAGACTTGGGAACATAATGCAATTCTTTGTATTCCCGTTAGGTCTTCTGTTTTTCGGAGGGGGATGTCACCTCTCCTCATTTCATGGTGCATGACATCAATCAGTCAGCAGGGGCTACCTAAGAGGGTAAGCTGAGGGACGGCCTCAGGCAGCTCACGAAAATGCATTTTTGAATTGCTGTTGCAGAGTAGGAAGTGCATACAATTGGCCTATTGTTATCTGGATGTATAATTTGTACTAAAAGTTCTGCAAAACATTTATTTTAGATATCCATAGAGCTTATAGGATGCTAACAGATTTAGCCATGGAAATGGAAGTTCAAGCTGTGAAAGAAAAAAAGAAACACTCATATGCTTGCAAAGCTTGTGAATCTTTTCTCAACATGCCCAGCAAAATTCACCCTTACAAAAGGAAGAAGGATGACATTTTCGATCAGGAAACTATAAGAGAATATCATTCAAGGCTTCTCGGCTAAGATCAATCAGAGATGCATGGTCAAGGATAATTCTGCTAATATTGACAGTCTTTGTGACTCTCAACTCCATTCACAGCAACGGTGTAGCGCTCCAAAAAGAGAATGAAAATCTGAAGAAGGCGAATGCAGAAATGAAAATTAAGATAGATGACTTGGAAGTGATTAATAAATGACCAAGAAAATCAGAGTCGTAGATGGTGTCTTTGTGTGTGTGTGACCTTTCCGAGTATTTCGGTGAAAATGTGAAAGTGAGGATGAGAGGGGTGTGAAAAAAACTTCCTGATAAGGGGTGGGGTGGAAGCGCCTGATGTGGCCCATTGCCTTGGCAGGAAGATAGAGGATAAGAAAAAACGAGAGCAGTGATTAGGGTTGAGGTTTGTTTTCTGGTCAGTGAGAAGGTTGATATGGAAGCGTGCCAAGGTATGTGAATAGCTGAACACCCAGGGGCCTTATTTTAAGGAGGATCTGACTTGGTTTGACAAGCAGCTCAGATACGACTGTGGCCACTGGCAGAAAAGGCGTGGAGAGAGAGTAAAAAGGCCCTTTTCATTGGGGCACGTGCTTTCGCAGATGGGATGGAACTTGTACAAGCAAATACACAATTATCCTGTTTTGGTCAGTTAACAGATAGGAGCCAGAGAATTTGTCAAATGCAAGTGATGTGAATTTTTTTGTGAGAAACCTTCAGCTTTCCAGGTAATTACTGCTTGTTGAATAGTTTGTTGTATTATATATTGTGATGTCAATTTCTATTCTTTCCATTAATGCCAGGGTTACTCATAATTTGCTTAAGAGGAAAACTTTATTTTTGTGGTGTTGGGCAGCCAGTTGACCTTGGACCCCCAGAGATTTGTTTACTCCTTAATTGGGAGTTTTTGGTTCCTGTTTGGGGGTGCTGTGGTGCTGTGGTTAGCACTGTTGCCTCACGCCTTTGCCACTTGGGTTCAAGTCTCTGCCATGTGTTCCATGTGTGTGGAGTTTGTATGTTGTCATTGTGAGGTTTTCTCCAGGTAGTCTGGTTTCCCCCCACAGTCCAAAAAATATGCTAAGGCTAATTAGAATTGCCAGATTGCCAGTGGGTCGGCGCCCCGTGCTGGGCAGGCGCCCCGTTCCTTGCCTTGTACCTGTAGGCTCTGGACCCCCTGCTGCCCTGAATACTTTCAGAAAATGAATGGATGATTGTTGTCATTTGTCTTTCATCTTCTGTTGTATTATTCTGTGTTAATGATGTTGTAATGTATCGCAGCTCACCTATGTAAAGCACCTTGGGGTGGCTGTTGTGAAAGGCGCTATATTAAAAAATTGAATTGAATTGAAATAAAAGCTTTTTAAGTAGCTGCTTTACTTTAAAAATCATAGCAAGTGGCTGAAATGATTCCAGCTCTACTTATTTCTGTGGATGCAATAGCCGCCTTTCAGTGCGTATTGGAAAGGAGGAGAAGGCATTGGTGAGGTTAGCCAATCATATGAGAGAACAGCAAAATGGTGCAATCAGGCCTCGGTCTCCAAAGTGACAGAGAGCCAGAAGAGGAGGAAACAAGGCCCCTCCTCATCTGAGAGGTGCCCTGGACAGAAGCTGACAGCCCCCCCCCCGGGAACTTGCACTGGGAGCAGCACTTTTCCTGCAGTGGATCTTGGAAGGATCTCATTGCTTTTGACATATTTCCTCAACAATTTTACTCATTAGATGGCAACATAGAACTAAACTGAAATTGTCTTAGCAGGACACATTTTCTATCCCTTGTCCACATGGTGCAAACAACAGTTCTCACTCAAATTCAGGACCATTGTGGAAAGAAACACACAGAAAAATGGGGAATTCAATCAAGGCAAATTTTAACATTTTAACATGTTAATAAAAAAGCAACAATTTTATATAGTACATTTGAAGAATTTATAAAGAAACCCACCCTATACAGAAGTATCACTTCTAACCTAAAATCATTTACTATTAGTATATGAGGTTTGTGTACATGAGGTTCAGAATACATGTTCCTGTATGTCCCGCTCCTGTACTGTATATCCCGCTCCTGCACTGCATGTCCCCGCTCCTGTACTGTATGTCCCGCTCCTGCACTGTATGTCCCCGCTCCTGCACTGCATGTCCCCGCTCCTGCATGTCCCGCTCCTGTCTCCGTTTGGCCATCACAGCCTACTTGCAGTACACATCGTACTTCAACTTGGCGCCCAGCTTGGTCCCAGCCAGGTGCTTCTCGAAAGCAGCATCCATCTCCTGGCTCTGGTCCACAGTGAAGAGGTTCTTCCAGTCTCCCACCTCGCCTGAAAGGCAGGAAGGGCGCAGAAAGCTTGTGGGATTGCGCCAGACCCATTATTGAAAATATTCGTCCCTATGAGAGGCTGACAATCATCTTGCTTTCTCAGCAGATACTGGAGGTATAAGCATTCTACCCTGGAGCAAAGCATCTTACAAAAAAAAAAACAACAACAGCTGTCTTATGTGGCTCAGTGGGTTAGGATGCTGTGCCTCTGATTGGAGGGGCATAGGTTCAAATCCTAGCCTCCGAAGAGTGATGTCACTGTTGGAGCCTTAAGCAAGGCCCTTAACCCACAACTGAGCCAGCTTTCTCAAAAATAAAAAAAAGCATCCATTACATTAATAAAATGTGAATTTGTTGTAAGTCTCCTACCCTGAAAAACAACATTTTATATGATACATATATTATAAAAGGCATGTGACTATTGGCATAAAGTACTATGATAAACGTGTTTGGCTGAAGGAGAACCTTAGACACCCCAGTGAACATGTATGTGGCAGAAATGAGCGGAGAGAGAGTTGGCCCTGACCTACCTTTCCTGAATATAACGTCGGTCATTTGTCCAAACATGCTCTTGGAGCTCTCCTTCATTGTGTCGAAACCACTTGCCTTGGCGACGCTCTGGACCTGCTCCTCAGTCAAGCTGTAGCCATAGAACTGGGCAATCTGCTCTATCCCTTGGCACATGTTCTGAACAGTAGTGGGAATCCCAATTCAAATGAAGATGGGCATATCATGTGACCCCATCACACATAAAGAACATTGCAGAAACAGGATTAAACTGTTACAGCACAACTAAAAATATTATACAGTATCTCATGATTGAGTTTAGGCCTCCCATGCAGTTCCACGATTTTCTGAAGTGAAGCCTCAGGAAGTGTTACACCAGTATGATTTTTCTGTCTTACCCTTGCAGATCTGAGATCGGGGGTATGTCTGAGAGCTTTACAAGGCTGACCCTGTTGTTGTGTTGTCAGAATAAGCTGCTATGTCTTTTCATACCCTGGAGGTCCCTATTAAGTTTAACAGTAAGACCTGGAACTTCAGGGCTCAGGAGGAACCCCATTGCACCACCTAAATTACCTGCTTCATGTCCTCAAAGGTCATAACCAAAACATTGGGGTCGTCGATATGCTCCTCCCATGCCAGGGCGCAGTCAAAGTAAGAACCCCAAGGTACTGTAAGGAGGAAATGGAGACGAATGTAAATCACATATGAGGCTTTGTAGGACATGTCCTAAATTAGGGTTTATGGAAGACATGTTTAATAAATGACACATTTATGTACTTGCCTGAACATTTTAGAGAATGGCAATTATGAAAAGCAGAATTTGTATGCATATACCTAAAGATCTGACGTCTTGTTCCTCCAAAAAACACTCAACAGTGAAATGGCACACTACAGTAAAGAGAGATCATATTGCTGTACCCTGAGATTTTATCAGTAGATATTAGTCTATGCAGTCTTGCTTGATATCAAGTACAAGCAAGGCTACAGTGCAGGGATAAAGCATTTTACGGACCCAAGGAAAACACTGCTGGCATTTACATAGCAATGTGAAGTCACTTCCTAACTGGCAGCAGAGGATTCTGGTCTGTGGGTCAGAGAGTGAAGCAGTGCTGCATTGCAAAAAAGTTAAATGCTTAAAAGTTCATCAGGCCATTTTTGAAAGTTCCCTGGGTAATTCTGGGAATTCCACTGAATCAGGAGAGGCTGAGTATCTGTCTGACACATTAAAACACAGATAGCAGTGGTTTTTATCATTATTCACCCTCACCGTCCGCCACATAGTCACTTCACTAATGTTCAGGAGATGCTGAAGCAGCATGTTCTGCTAACGAGCTATCTAGCTACCATCTTCTGACTCGACTCTGGTTGTTGAAATGTGGGTGGGGACAAAGTGAATTTTTCAGTTGGGAATGAACCAGTAAACACAAACAACAACCCCCCACCCCCCAAACACACAAAACTTTACACTAGAACATTACTTAAATTTTCCATGAAATTACTCTAATTGGTAGGTGAAGCATATTTCAATAAATTATATAGATATATTAAGAAATACTTTTTTCCTGAGGTGCCTGTGGGCATTTGTGGGCGAGATTACCTTCTCCTTGTATGAAGTCTGAGTAGAACTTGTCCCAGGACTCAGCGGTCTGCAGCACTGGGTTGTTGTTGGTGAAATGAAAGTAGGAGACGGCTGTATCTTTAGGGTTCCGGAACATAACCACGATCTACGGAGAGGCGGCGTCACCGACAACTCAGTCCACCCAGTCATTGTTCATGAGTAGAGATTAAAAATGAGCATAGCATAGCCCTTTATTGTGGAATGGTTTGGCAGCTCATGTTCGGGATGCCAAATTGGTCTCAGTCTTTAAATCCCGACTTTGACCTTGTTGACCTAGGAGCCCCACAGGTTCTTTTCTCCTCACTTGGGAATTTTTGGTTCCTCTCCTCTGTTATCATCTGGCTTTCTTTCATTCATTTTTTTGTCTTCCTTTTTCCCTTTTTACTCATGTTAAGATGCCTTGGGGCGACTGTTCTGAAAGGCACTTTATAAAAAACTTTAGTGAATTGAATATTGGCTAAGAACTTACACATGACCACACTTCAGTGGCTGCTTAAAGTTTCAGAAAATCCTATTTATGTTAGAATAAGTGCTGGTCATTGTCTGTTGGTTAACCTTGAAATGGGATCTATATTAAAGTGATTATAACCAGGCTGCTTTTAACAAGCCATAGCCATTACATAACATGGAAGTCAGAATTCTAACCTCTGCACAAAGGAAGTCAGCTTGGCTTCTGGAAAGACAGGATTAACAAATGTGTGTAGCGAGCACGAACCTTGGTTTTCCTGGCGAAAAAAGAAGAGGGCATGTTCTGGGGTTGCAAGTGTGTCCCGAGGATTCT